CGCCCCGGGGGGGGGGGGGGCTTCAAAGCGGCAGCACCTGCTGCTCTGAAATGCCCCGGGGCGGTGGGGACTGCTCCCTGTGGCCCCCGCGCCCGCAGGGCTTTCACCTTTGAAGTGTAGCAATAGTCGAGTCAGTGACTCTTTGATTAGCCAAATAATCCAAATGTTACATCCCTACACAGTAATTATGTTTAACAGGAACCTAATCGTAGTTTTGCTGAATTCTGATTGATTACCTTTGAGCTCACTTGAACATGAGCAGATTTTACCAGGACTCCGGTATTCGATATAGGGAAATAGGTCGGCCTAGAGCACCAGCCCCTTGGGTAAATTTTCCTTCCTGAATATTGACTTCAGGCCAGATTATTAAATGTGAAAGCACTGAGATACTTTTGAAAATAATTTTGTACTTGAAATCTTACAAAAACTGTATTTCTATAAGTAATGTCCCATTATGCATACACAGAAGGAAAAGTTTTCCGTTAAAAGCATTTTCAGAAAAGCACATCTAGATTGGCAGGGGGCTTTTCCGCAAAAGCATTTTTTTGCGGAAAAGCATCTGTGGCTAATCTAGACGTGGTTTTCCACAAAAAAGCCCCGATCGCCTTTTTCACGATCGTGGCTTTTTTGCGGAAAACAGTACTATGCTGTCTACACTGGCCCTCTTGCGCAAAGATCTTTTGGAAAAAGACTTTTGCCCGAACGGGAGCAGCATAGTTTTTCCAGAAAAGCACTGATGATTTTACATGAGATCGTCAGTGTTTTTCCGGAAATTCAAGCGGCCAGTGTAGACAGCTGGCAAGTTTTTCTGCAAAAGCAGATGATTTTGTGGAAAAACTTGCCAGTCTAGACACAGCCAGACTGTTCATGGTGAGAAATTGCTGGATCCCCATGGGCTCTTTAGTCTAGTGGATATGACTCAGTGAGAACTAATAATTGAAAGCTGAAGCCAAGCAATTTCATGCTAGAAAGGAGCACAGATGTTTGATAGGGACGATGATTAGCCACTGAAACCAATGGCCACAGGAAATGGTGGATTCTCCATCTCTTGATGTCTTCAAATCAACACTGGGTGACTTTCTAGAAAACATGTTGTGGGGAAACAGAGCTTTGTGCCTGGGTAACTGGACTACATGTAAGGGCTTGTTCCACAGAGGAGGTCAGACTAGGGTTACCAGATTTAAAAAAAAATA